AATACATGATTTCCTAAACAAAGGAGTTCTGTCTCTTATTGCTCTTGTGCTATTGGCTTCACCCTCGTTTCCTCCATAGCCATAGGGCACTGCAGTCCACACATGCAATTACTGATGGACTGCAGCAGGGAACACAGATTAGGCTAGCCTGATGCTGAATTGGACTCTGCTCCAATAGGGAAAGGAAACTCTGGACACTGACTCTGATTTAAGATCTTCTGAATCCAGCTACAATAAAAGAAACCACAAGAAGTGGAATTTTAAAAATTATATTTAGTGAAACTACATAGCATCATTGAGCTAGATAATGGTTTTCTTAAGAAACAATTTCCATATATGTACATTTGTTCTCTTAACATGAGGTAGTAGTTTTTAAATTTGTTTATGTAATATGAATTTTCAAAGGAACTTTTATTTTATAAGTCATTTTTCCTATTTCATATGATGCTATATTTGATATGGCTTAGTGTAAGAAAGAGTGGCTTCTGTTGTCTTCCAATAGGAGGGCTTACCATCACTCTTGCACTGCAAGGAGATATCTGAAACAACAAAATAACCATTAACCTGCCCTCACTGAACTTACAAAGTGACAAAGCCTGAGTAATCAACAGGCCATTTAAGATTGAATTCTACTTTATACCATATTCTTAAGGAAGCTAAATACAATTGTGGTATAAAGAAATGCTAATCAGCCCTAGGAGTTTTGGCTCAGTGGATAAAGCATTGGCCTGGGGACTGAAGGGTCCTGGGCTCGATTTCAGGTCAAGGGCACATGCCTGGGTTGTAGAATCTATCCCCAGTAGGGGGCATGCAGGAAGCAGCCGATGAATTATTCTCTCTCATCATTGATGTTTCTATCTCTCTCTCTCTCCCTTCCTCTCTGAAATCAATAAAAATATTTTTTAAAGAAATGCTAATCATTTCAATTCCATTAAATTTAGGGAAGCTACAATAGCAGATTTAAAATGTTGTGAACTGCAAAATGAGATGGCACATCATCTCTACAATATATTTGTGGAAGGTTCTTGTTTAGAATTACTGGTTGATTTGTTTATTTAGATCAACCCTTCCACTGGAAGCAAAAAAAGCTAAATAAAATATAATTTTATATACTGTAATTTAAAAAAAAACACACCTGAATTTAACCATGAAATCTATAACAGTGCAATTTTATCTAATCTTTTAACTGCTCAATTTGAAATACTCATGTTAGGAAATAATACAATTGTGATAAATGAATTGAGGTATATAATAGTATACCCTGAAAGAAATCTACAGAAATAAGATGCTTATTTCTGTGTGTACTGATCTAGTTTCTACATTTTACAATGTTCACATATAAGATATTTAAAGAGATGACCATCGGAGGAACTCAAACTTATTTCATTATGTGGAACTTTGGTGTGAAAGACTGGAACTGGTGGAAATGACTAAATACTTCACACAGCCCCTCCATCACTTTCTATTATGCAAGCTACAGCTTTTCAAGCCAACTCCCTTATTTCACTAATGAGCCCTGTCAACACTGAGGTAATAGAACTGGAAAAACTCATCAATACACAATGATATTCAAATATCAGAATGTATTTCATTTGGTAATAATTTTAACACTGCCAAATAAAATTAATACATATACAGTAATATATACAAGATTTTGAGGAATTCTATTGAAAAGGGATGGGAGAGCCTCAAATTCATCCTGCAATTGCTTAGGCATTCTTTTTGCTCCTTTGAACTTTTCATGCTCCATCCCGTAAGTAAATAGGGTGAAGGTGGCTACAGAAGGCCAGAGTGAACTAATCATCATGCATTTGTGCAGTTAGTCTACTCTAGCTTTATTCCCACAGGTGTTTCATCATACTAAGTTTCTCCAGGAAAAGAGCTGTTTTATTCATCTCTAACCTCCAAAATTTACCCAGATGTCCTGCATATAAAGTCATCCCTAACATCTACTACATGGCAGGCATTAGATTAGGGACTAGAAGTAGAGAAGTAAAAGCGATATGTATCTCACTCTCTTAGAACCTCATGGAAAGGGGATATTGAATATTGGCTGCATGAACAGAATCAAGTGATTAGTGATCAGTTAGCACAGCCCTGTCACCTATGTTCTTTTTGCCTATTGCCAATCAAGACTTAAGATGAGAAACAGCATAGTCTTTCCCTTCAGGAATATAAATGTGTATGTCTAGCCCTGACAATTCTCCTGAGTTCTATATTCATATACCCAACTGCCTACTCAACATATTAACATATTAACGTGTAGTTACAGAAATTAACTGCATGGACTCTGAAGACAGACTGCTTGGATTTGAATCCCAGCCCCATTGATCACAGGCTGGGTGACTTTCAGCAAGTGACTTTTAACCTCTCTGTGCCCATTTTCTCATTGTAAAATGGAGATATACAACTGTTATAAGGATTAAATTAACTGATATGTAAACATGCTTAAAACCCTGCCTACTACACAGTATATGCTTACATAGTGGTTACTATGCTTATTAGCAGCACCAGTACTGGTGTGTGCTAACTAGGCATCTGAAGTTTGTCTGAAACAGAAATCATGATTTCCTTTTCAAACCCATTTCTCCCTTTCTCAGCACTACCTTCCAGTTGTTCCAGCCTAAAACCCAAGAGTTTTAGGTTTTAGAGAAACCCACATTAGTAGGTCCACACCTCTAACTTCAAAAGTACATCATGAATTTGACTAATCCTTACCATCTCTCCTACATCCCCTAGCCCAAAACACCACCAGGTATAGCAACAGTCTCCTACCTTCCCATTTTCAAGACTCCCCACTCTATGACCCTAGAAATAATAAAACAGAAATCAGATGCTATCGCTTTAATACAAAAGTTTCCCAACACTCTTAGAAATCAGATGCTATTATCTTCCAAAGGTTTCCCACCACTCTTAGAATAACATCTTTAACTCACCACAGCCTGCAAAGGCCCCCATAGTCTGCCTGGCCCTCCATCATCTGCCATCGCTTGCCCATTTCCTCGCTGTGTTCTGGACGCTATCACCCTGCAATGCCTTGGCTGCTTCCTCAGGGCTGCTTCCACCTCCGAGCATCGTTCCATTGTTGTTCCTACTGTGAGGCAGTATTGTTGACTGCAGCATGGACTGTGAGGTCAGATTGCCCAAATTCAAATACTGTCTCCATCACATTTTAGCTGTGCAACCTTGAGCAAATTCTTAATCTTTCTGTGTCAGTTTCCTCATCTATAAAAATGGGAATGAGTACTTCCTTCATAAGGTTGTTGTAATAATTTAATTTTGTGTTTATAAGAGTGCTTCACATATAAGCTGGACATAAGTGTTTACTGCTATTGTAATTCCTCCCTGAAATGTCCCTACCTCAGGCTCTTCTTCCACTTCAATTGACTCAGCTGTCACCTCCTTTGAAAGGCCTTCCCTGACAGATCTTAAAATAACCTGTCCTGTTCTCCCACTGTCTGTTTTTTCTCTTATCTTCTCTTATATCACTTTATGTATCACTTTTTTTTAAATAATATCATGTACTTATTCTTTGTTGCTTATTTCCCCACTGGAACATGAGCTCCACTAGGTTGGAGATTGTCTTGTTTGTTGCTCTAGTTCTAGTTGTGACTCAGAACCTGACTTTGAATGCACACATCTCTTATTTCTCTTTTCCAGGCTTGGGGACCAATGCAAATTTCTTAATAGCCATAACAAACTTAGACAGCCTTTAGTTTTCACATTTATGACCTCATTTGATCCTTGAAAAAAGCAACAGCAGATATACTATCATCTTCCATCTTAGAGAGAAAAGAAAATTCCAAGTTTGGGTGACTTGTCTTTAGAAACAGAGCTAATCACTAAAAGAACAAATATAAGGACCCCTGCTTTCTAAGCCTCCTTAGATGGAAGGAGATTATACCCTTGAAACTGAATTTACAGATGTGTACAATATTCTTCCCTTCAAAGTTTCTGTCAAATACTTGTTCCTGACTTTAAGAAGTATTACAGTATGGTACAAACTCATTAATAATGTTATTAACACTTGGGAAGCCAACAAATTCAAGGAGTCAGATATGATGATGGTATATTCTAAGTTTACACAGCAAAATCCTTAAAACTCACAGTACATTTGTACTGAGCATAAAGTACTAGTTTCAACACTCTAAAAGCTTTCTCTGCAAAATCCAGACAAAGGGGACCTCATAATTGTCAGGATCATTGTGATAATGGTACCAGTTATTTCTTGGTCCATATTCCACCAAATTTAGTGATAATAGTTCTGACCACCCACCAGGCTCAAGTATTGTCTGGGATCAGACTAGCATGGGGGGCAAGGTGGGGAGGCAGAATTGTAAAAATGGCCACTATCTACAAGACCTTTGTCAAATAGCCACTGGCCAGCACATTCTCAGAATAGCCGATTGTCTTTATAAGCTTTCTTCCAGCAAGGTTACATGTTTGTATTGCCTCACGTGCTCTCACAAAAACCATTCCTGTGGGAACGCCAACTACAATAGAAAGGCAAGAGTCTGCTTCACCGCCATTTATACAAAAAGAAAACTGAGGCAGCAAGTGGGTATCTTCACAAATTGTCTTAGGCGATTTGGTAACTTCTGGGATCGCAAAGGAAGCCTGGATATGGAATCTCTGAAGGAAACTTCTATCCCGGACTTAACAAGGTCAAACTCGTGGGCTGAAAGGAATCAAAGGCCCTTCAACAATAAAGGACTTTCCCATTTGGATCTTCCCCCTAGGGAGACTGTTCCAGGCCTTCCAGACACCAGAGGAAAGGCTGGCGCCTGTCCACTGAGCGCGGCCCGGCCGGCCTGGCGCTCCTGGCCCTCCCACCCAGAGGGCGCGCTCCCGCCCGGCAGGCACCTGTCCCTGAACCAGGCTGGCGGCTCTCCCGGTCACACCAGGACCTAACAACCCACCGCCACTACCAGCACCAGGAAGACGAGCAGCGGGGAGAGCCCCGCGGGCCCGGGAAGCTGCAGGAATCCTCCGACACTTACAGTTTTCCTACAGCGTGCGCGTCACGGCGCGGTGACGTCACGGGACCCAGCGTTCGGGAAGGTCAACCCGCAGGTCACAGGACCACAGGGGCCCACGGCTCCGCCCCCAGCGCGCGGCGAGAGGCACGCCCCTTTCCCCCGGGCCCCGCCCCCGGCTTGGCGCTCCGGGCGCAGGCGCAGGCGCAGACTGGTTGCAAGGCCGCCTGCTGCGGGGGCTTCGCGCTCTGGACGCCGAGGGCGGGGCCGCTCAGCGAGGTTCACTGCAAGCGTGTGACCCGCAGCTGGGCCCCGGGGACACAGCAAACCAGCTGTTAGTTAGGGGGCTGGGTAGGACGCCAGAGTTGGGAGGCAGATTTTCCACAGACACTGCTGTCCTTCCCTCACGTGTTCGCTAAAAGTTCCCCACGTGTGGGAACAGCCGTGCGCTCTCCTTCGGGTGCCTGCGCGTTCTCGCCGAGAGGTGCCAGGTCTCCCGTGGCCCCGCCCCCGGCCCCGCCCCCGGCTCCGCGGAGCCCACCCCGCCCCGGAGTCCGCCCACCAGGCTCCTGCTCGCGGGGGCGGTGGGCGGGCTCCCGGCTACCCCGCCCTGTCTCCTTTCCACCGCCAGCCTTTCCCTTAACACTTTAGCTCTCGCCCTCCTCCTGGATTCCCCGTTTGGGCTCATCCTCTTTTACATTTAATACAAGTTGATCCGTGTAAACAAATATGTACTCTTCTTCGCTAGTGTCCTCTTTCCACCACCTCCCACTCGTGTGAGGACATCCGGTGTGCCCAAGCCCAGATTTCTGCTCTTAAAGTTTTACAAGAGTGCTGGCTTAAAGATGGCTCAGGAGAGAAGGAGAAGGGTAGGCTCCAAGAACTGACACATTATTTCTAGCTTGTAGGATTCTTAGAGTACTCTTAAGCAGAAAAAAAAATAATAGATGCTAAAGTAAAAAGTGGCTGGTACAAGTCTATCTTGGAGAAAATAAATTAAGTGGGGAAAACGGGCCTTGAAAATAGACCCTAAGTTGAAGGTAGCAAGGACACTTTTAAAAACTTATTTGGAATCACGACAAATGGGTGGATGAGACCTGAGATTTTGCCAGGCAGATCCCTTAGTAAATAAAATCTGAAACAACTCTCATTGAAAACGGTGTAGTAATTTCATAGGAAAGAATGATGACGGGAATGTTAGTCTTTTAACATTAGTTAAAAATAAGCACATTTATTATTCAGAAAAAAGATCTACCTAAGTAATCAAAGTTTTTTAAAGTTTCTCTATTTTTAGAGAGTATTTATACATTTTACTTAATATAATTTCATATGAGATTTTAATGATCATTATCAACTGATGTAAGAAATTTGTAAAGTTTTTACATGATAATTTTATAATAAGGTTTTGTTCTGTGGAGCAGTTAGAAAAATTAGCAATTTATAAAAATTCTACATATAAAAATATATATTTTTTCCTTGCAAAACAACAAATTTAAGAAACCTCTAAATTGTTAATTACATTATTTATAGGTTTATAGTATGTCATCCCAAAAATGAGAACTTTTTTTTTAATGAATCTAGATATACCTGTCAATCAAAAGTTGTTGCCCCCATACAATACCAACAGTCCCAATCTGGAGTGCAGTGAAAGGAGAAACTTTATTTAGGTAAACAGTGTACATACCCAAGAAACACAGCCTCCAGTAAAAACCAAAAATGTGTGCCACCAGGGACAAAGGAAAGGCCACAATATAGAGGAATCTTCACTATTTTCCAGTCTCTTTCCAAATTCTGCTTCTATTTCATTGTTTTAGGTACACACCATGATCCACTAAGTTGGTTTTGTGACCTATTAATAGGTTGCCACCCTGAGAAACACTAATCAGAATCCAAAATATAAAGATCAGACTGTATCACATGTAATTAGTGTAATTTTTTCCAAAACACAAATTTTAGAGAACTAGTGTTTTAATAATGTATATAGTATCTAGGTTACTATGTTAATATATTTCTAAGCTGGATCTCAATCAAAAATTTTTTAAATACTATTATAGTCTTTCCTTGCTTGACTTCTGTGTATATTTCATCTTTCAGAATCAAAACCAAGAGGAACCAAATTCCACTTACAACCTCCTCACATCCCTCTCAGCTCCAGGATTTGATCTAAGAAATATCTCCCCAAATAATCAACAAAATAAACAGTGACTCCTATATCCACAAAGCCTCTTGTCTCCAGCACAAACCCAATAGTGTACTAATACCCTAATAACATAATAAACATCCATAAAACAAGAGTTATGAAAAATAAAAGGTTGTTCTGAGAAAGGAGCTGAGTTAGGGAGCTTGGTGGAAAGAAGACCTGGGACAGAGATCGGAGAGCTACAAAGGGATGTATGTTCAATAATATACATGCACACTCATACACACGTCTGCTGTTACATGGTTTACAAAGTATTTCAAATCTTATTTCATCACTTCTATGACCTCAGTCTCTTATGTAGCTTATTTTCCCCACCCTTTTGGTCTCTATCCCACGGGAACTTCCTCAGAGAAGATTTCTCTAATTTGCCTTTGCTCTCAGCCTCAAATATTATTTTAATTTCTGCCTCTGCTTGACTGTATGCTCTATGAGAGTAGGGACAGTGCTAGTCTTGTAGCTGAGTACCCTACCCTGAGCAGGTACCCAGTATATAAGTGTGGAGGCATGAGTGGATGAATGAACTAAAAATCAAAGACCAGATAGGTTTCTTACTCAAAATACAAATTAATTTCTAAAAAAGGGGTGGGGGGTGGGGCATTGTGTTAATTGAAATAACACTGAGAAGAAAATCTTTTAGGAGGAAAAACATTTTGAATGACAATGCAGCAAACCATAGTAAAACACTGAAAAGGTCAATTCTGTTATTAACTGGCTACTTTTGTGCATGTCCACTAACTTCTCCAAACCTCAAAAGGGGTTAGGCTCACCAAATGTTATTTGTAGTGGATGTCCTAAAAGGGTGTTACCCCCCTGGGGAACTCTAAGAAATCAGGAGAGACCACCTGGAGCCTTATTTGCATGAAGTCCCCTGGAAGAACTTGACGGGCACTGGGGACTAACAATCAATCCTCTTAAATCAAAGATGTTAGACAAAAGCCCTCCCAGCAACAAGAGGGTAGGATGAGGGAGTGAGGAGGGAAATGAAGACAAGTAACTAGTATCATTGCTCTGAGGAGCCAAGTTCATAATTGAGTACATGTGCATGCTTTTGAGTATAAATCTGAAAAAAATCAAGCTGACTTTGTGGGTGTGTTGGACTGGAGGGGAGGGGAGGAAAGTCCAGGAGAAAGAAGAGGTCAAAAAAGACAGTTTCCCAAGGGGAAAAACCTCACCTACTACAGCACAGCAGACAGAAAGGATGTTTCTGAAGCAGGCCTCTAGGTGTTTGTGCCTGTTCTTTCTTGGATTCTGTTTTTCTTCCTTATCTCTTGGAAAAGACCTAGTGATTAGTGATTAGTTCTATCACTAATACCTCTGCTATTAATGGCAAAACCTTTCTTGAGCACTTACTTAGATCAAAAGCAGTGCTGAGCACTGTGTGAAATCTTTAAGCTTCAAATAATTTTTTCTTAGAGGGACAAGAAATAATGGTGTATCATTTAATTGATGGCATCTTTGATTTAATAACAAGTAATGTATTATATTATAATTGTTTATACTTCTTCCCCCCCCCCCCCCTCCTAAACTATGAACTCTTTGAAGACAGAGACTAGTTTACTCAATTTTGTGTCCTTAGCACCTAAAACAGTTGCTGGCACATATGACAAATTTCTTTAATTCAGTTGAAAAAGAAATGCCATCGTCCTGACAAGGTGACAGGTAGGTGCAATCTAGGAGAAAAAGTCATCCCTGTGTCAACAGAAGCAGTTGGTCAACTCAAGGCCTGTTGGCCTGGGCAAACAAAGTCACAACTTTTCTGGGTTTCATTCCAGGTAAGTTCTGTCTAGCTATGATAGTATATGGCATTATGAAAGTATATGGCATTCCTCCAACCTGTTATTTGCTCTAATTAACAAATTGTCATTTATTATGTTTCCTCTATGTTGGGTTCAGGTTACTTTTAATCAATGAAAACAGTCCAAATTAAAATAATTCTTTAAAATCTGATTTTGCAAACTCAGATCCAATTACATTTAAACTATAAAGTGAAAATGGTACTCAGCTTACAGAGATATTCAATTTGGTCTGCATTGTGTTTTTAAATTTTTAATTGACCATTAGAGGATAACACATTTAAAAAGCAAGTATTTTGGCTTCTTTAAAAATATAAGAAACTCCTATGATATTGGCACCCCCTCACTCAAGGCATTCTTTATTGGAAGGAACCATTGCCTGGTTCAGAGGCAATTTTCCCCATTTTCTCACAATCCCACATGTGACTATGTAACCCACGCACTTGGCCGCTGAAGGCACTAGAGATTATGGTGTATCTTGAAGGGAAGGGCTTGCTTGATTATATAAGTCTCTAACTTAATAAGGAACATAAAACCTGTGAAATGAACAGCTTTGCCCGGAAGTTCAGTAATGCTCTACATGAATACAATAATCACATTTGCTTCTACAAATAATTTTTTTTACAATTTTTATATTTGTCTTCTAGAGAAGAAATGTTTTTATGCATAGGGGTTTTCCTATAAGATATATTGCTTTTTTGGTATTTAAACCAAAGAAAAAATACTTAAGAAAAGTTGAAGAGCAAAATAGAAGATAGGGTTCACAGTGTTGCCCAAAATATACGACTGCTGTATTGATTGCATTTGAAGAGCACACACTCTTATCCAGGTGGTAATCACAGTCACTTTTAATTTACACCTAAAAGCAAGCTCTGAAGTTATATAGAACAAGCATATTTAATCACGCTATTATTTTGGTGAAATTCTTTTAACCAGTTATACAGTAGGTACTGCTATTGACATTAGCATTAGATTTGGTTACAAGTGACAGAAACACCCCAGGAATAGGCTTTAACAAGACTCAAGTTTATTACTTTTATGTCTGAAAATGTCTGGATGTAGGTTATCCAGGGCCATTTTGCCATAGTGTCAGGGACTCAGGCTCTTTCAATCCTGTTGCTTAGTCATGCATGACCTACATTTGCAAAGTCACCTCACAGTCCAAGAAAGCAGCCTTGCTCCAGCAATCCCCAGAGTGCAGGAGGGAGAAAGGCCAGAATATTCTGCAACTAGTACTTCTTCAATCCCACTTTTCCCAAGAAACTTTCTTCAGCTAATTAAGAGACTGGACTGATAATTTATCTTCTATATTCTCTTAAAACCTACTATACCAGATTTCAATTATTTAAATATTTTAAAATGTACTTATGGCCCAGCCAGTGTAGTTCAGTGGTTGAGCATTGACCCAGGAAATAAGAGGTCACCTGTTGGATTCCTTCATCAGGGCACATGCCCAGGTTTCGGGCTCCATCCCCA